ACTAACTCAACAACATCATACGAACTCATCCGTGCGATCAAATCGCCAAAATATCCTCAATAACAATGAATTAAACCTCAAAATCAAGAATTTTTTTCTCAAACTTCATCAATTATCAAATTCAGCAATTTAGATACGGTTCACGTCAAACGACGTCCGTTTTCAACCAAACTTTACAGAAATGACTTAAATCATATATAAGACCTGTACCGGGCAGCGGAACCAAAATTCGGGCCCGATACCATCATGTTCTAATCAAATTTCATTTCAAATTTCTTTAAACAATTTCAGAAAACAATTTTTTTTGAAAATTTATTTCTCAGGCTCGGGACCTCGGAATTCGATTCCGGGCATACGCCCAAGTCCCATATTTTCCTACGGACCCTCCAGGACCGTCAAATAACGGTTCCGGGTCCGTTTACCCAAAACATTGACCGAAGTCAAATTAGCTCATTCTATAATCAAAACTTATTGTTTTTCACAGATTATCATATTTAAGCTTTCCGGCTACGCGCCCGGACTGTGCATGCAACTCGAGGTGACTCTAAATGAGGTTTTCAAGGCCTCAGAATACGGAGGTTTCATTTTAAAACAAGTGATGACCTTTTGGGTCATCACAAAGCTCCCAAATCATCAATTTTTCACAATTCAAAAATTTTTAAATCGAGGTATTCCGACTTACTTTTTGGTAAAACTCATGTATATAAAGTTCTTATTGGTTGTTTTTACTGTGTTGTATGTCTTTTTGTGATCGTTTTGTGATATAATTATTTTTTTTATTTTTTATCCGGATTAGTTTATTTATGTGCTAAAAATTATTTAAAATAATTATTGTTATTTTATTGAATAATTATTGTTATATGTGATTTTATTATTGTACGTATATTAATATGTGACTGTATTGTTGTTTAGTGCCCTTTAGTGTTATGTTGTGCCTTTAATTATTATGTAGTGCCCTTTAATGTAGTAAAACTGATAATAAATTTTAGCTTATGGTAGTTGACTTTGTTTATGACTATTTAGAGTAGTGTTACTTTAGTGCCCTTTAGATTACGTAGTCTAGAATAAAAATTACCTGCTCTCCTTAACAAACTCGGTTAGAGTACTCAATTATGGATATAATATATTAGTAGATAATTATCAAATATTAGATATGAATCATAAAATAATCAGTTGACGTTACAAAAGAGACGCTGCCAAAAATTTGTGCAAAATGTGGCAGTTAACAAATAAATCGTTACGAATGACACAAATTAAATATTATTTACTATTAAGTTTGTAATATTTTTTATATGAATAATTATTGAATATATATTGATTATTTATGAAATTGTAATATTTACTTCTGTTATAACCCAAAAAAAATTAAAAGAGAAGATAGTTCAAACAAAACCATGTAGAATTTTAGTAAAACAATATAGGAAACTAACATATGAAATATTATTATAGAAAAATTATCAGCTTAAGCATTTGTTATATGAATAATTACTAAAATATCTGTTTAGTTATTGAAATTAATTATTTAATTCTCTATTAACCCCAAAAATATTTTTAAAAAAAGATGATATTTCAAATTAAAACCCTCTCAAATTAAGTAAGGACAAGATCTTCAAGTTGCTCGTTTTCACTACACAATTAATAAAATAATGAGTTTCTCAAATTTATCCAAACATTATATATAAACTTTATCACTTAACTTACAAATCCTAATATGGTGATATCCCACGATGCACATTATCCTGTTGCTGATGGCTCCAGGATAGACCACCATGATCCAACACACTAAAACTGAACATATTCCAACTGTCAATTGGTTCATAACTTGTAAAATTCATATCTGGCCGGTACCCCCTTTGAAATATATGAGTATTAATACAAATATAATATATAAAAACATAATAATACAAAGGAAAATTGAAATTTACCACTCGACTTGTGGATTATGTAAACTTGGGAAGAAATTATGTCCTTGCTCCTCATTCGCCCGTGGAGATAAGTTTAGATCTGGCCAAACTCTTTCAAACGAAACCTGTTCGGATAAAACTGCTCCAAAAAAAATTACCCGATGATTGAGGGTTATCTCTATTTTGCGGAACCTCAATATTGCGAACGTCTTCAGATGTGACGTACATTTTCAATATTTTTATCACAAGAAGTTCCCGATGTTCATCCGGAGTCCTCAAAAAATATGTGAGAGGTTTATCGTCTTTGATGTTAAACTCAGCATAACAAGCAACCCCTTGCGAAGTAATACGAATATCTTCCGATTACTTTAATATTAACCAAACATTTTCTCACACTTATTTTTTTTACATAATAACGAAACCAATCTATCGTACTCCATTGTAAGTGGTAACTTAACAATACACTGTGGAGAACAACTATAGCGTACTGAGTTATTCTCCACCTCCCCCCCCCCCCCC